AAAGTTTGACAAAATCTAGTGATGATCCGAAAATTATAGTTGACGGTCGAAAATATAAGTTCCCTTGTGGGAACTGTGATAAGCCAGTCAAATGTAATCAACACGGCCTTCTGTGTTCTTATTGTAAAAAATGGTTTCACACTAATTGTCAAGCTATCAGTTTTTCAGAGTACCGCAGGTTATATTATGAATGCCCTGATGAGAAGTGGAATTGTTTAACATGTTGTCTGCCATCTTTTTGTGACTCATTATTTAACGACGATTGTTTAGAGAAAGAAAGCCAAAACGAGGATAGACTAAAAGAAAACTATTTTAAGATAACGCGCGTTACACCTGAAAAGCAAGCGATAGCAAGAGTAATTCAGCCAAACCTCAGAGATGAAAACACTTCTCTTTATCAAGAATTTGAAGAAAAGTTTAAAGTTAAAGGTCTTCATTTTTTACACCTTAATGTGAGGTCTATTCTAAACAAGATATCGGAACTTAGAATTCTTTTTAAAAGAAAAAGGCTGTCTATTATTGCTTTCACTGAAACATGGTTAAACAATTCCATAAATGATGAAGAAATTGAAATAGACGGATATAAAATCATACGCCATGATCGATCCTCTGGCTCTGGAGGTGGTGTATGTTTCTATATCAGAAATGATATTGCATTTAATATTATGGATGCTATAAGTACTGGAGATACGGAATCCCTGTGGATAAATTTGCTTATACCAAGATCAAAACCAATTGTTGTTGGTGTTCTGTATCGACCTCCGAAAAACAATTTGTTTATCGAGAAATTGTCCAATATTCTTGATACATTAAAGAAGGATGACGAAATAATTCTTTTAGGAGACATGAATATTTGTCTTCTTCGCAAATCGCCACTGGCTAAAAAATATATTGACTTGTTGAGTCTTCATGGGTTTAGTCAACTCATTAAAGAGGCAACACGCGTTACACCTACATGTTCTTCTCTATTGGATCATGTTGGTTGTACCAAAGAAAATAAAATAAGTCAAAGTGGTGTCATTGATCTAGGTATTAGCGACCATTATTTTACTTTCTGTACACGGAAAAATGTTAGACTGGCTATAGGTCATCACAGGACTAATGATATCAGATCCATGAAAAAATATACAGAAGAGTCTTTCAATCTTCAACTATCTGTTGTTGATTGGTCACGAATAACTGACTGTACAGATGTAAATGAGGCATGGTCAATATTTCAACATGTTTTTATCTCAAATTTGAATATGATAGCGCCACTGAAACGGATAAGAATAAAACAAAGATCAGAAACTTGGGTGACTAAAGATATTCTTTCCCTAATTCAAGAGAGAAATATAGTATACAAAAAATGGAGGAAAAGAGCAAAAGATGAGAAGCTCTATAAAAGATACAGAGTATTAAGAAATATGGTCCAAAGAGAGGTGAAAAAGGCTAAACTCGATTACTTACAAAACAAGATAGAAGAAAATAAACAAGATTCGAAAAAACTTTGGCAGAATCTAAAAAGCTTAGGATTGAAAAATAAGAAGCGAAAAGAACAAGAATCTGTCATTAAAATTGATGGGGAATTATGTCATGATAAGATGGCCATCGCTGATGAATTCAATTCTCATTTCACAAATGTGGCTGCCAAATTAGTAGACAAACTCCCCCCTTCCAAAGACTTTTTCAGCGCAGACAATGATTGTATTCGTGACTTTTACGAAAGAAAAGGTGTACGTGAAAACAGCTTCGAGTTATTACCAATCAGTGAACAATTTGTTTTCAAAGAGTTACGTAAGTTGAATGTATCAAAAAGTACTGGGTTAGACTTGATTCCAGCTAAATTTCTAAAAGATGGTGCGAAGGTTTTATTTAAGCCTCTAAGTTACTTAATGAACCTATCTATCTTGACGAGTACTTTTCCAGAAGATATGAAAATAGCAAAAGTGACTCCACTTTATAAAAAGAAAGATAAAACTGATGTTAGCAACTATAGACCTATTAGTGTTTTAAGCGTAGCATCAAAGATTCTAGAAAAATCGGTCTGTGTTCAAATTGAAAGATACTTCAAAGAAAATGATATAATTTATGAATTTCAATCTGGTTTTCGACATGATTATTCGACTGAAACATGTCTAATTCATTTGACTGATTATTTGAGGAGAGAAACTTCCCAAGGACGCTTTGTTGGTATGGTGCTCCTTGATCTGCAAAAAGCTTTTGATACAGTTAATCATTGCGTCTTATTGAAGAAGTTACAACTAATGGGTTTTGATAAGGCAAGTTTAGATTGGTTCAGATCTTACTTATCTAATCGGCACCAAGTAGTGGCCATTCATGATATTCGTTCCAAACTAATGCCTATAACATGCGGTGTTCCTCAGGGAAGTATTTTAGGCCCAATTCTATTTTCAAGTTATATAAATGATATGTGTATTTGTATAAAAGACTTCAAACTATTATTGTACGCAGATGACAGCGTACTACTCTATTCAAATCCTGATCCTAAATATATTGAGGAAAAGCTCAGTGAACAGCTGTCTACGTGTGTCGATTGGATGACTGATAATAAGCTTTCTTTACACTTGGGAAAAACAGAAAGCATTTTATTTTGTTCTAAAAGTAGTTCTAAAAAGTCATTTGAATTCAAAGTGACACACAATAATCAAGCAATCAAGAGAAAAGAGTCTGTGAAGTATTTAGGCATTGAGTTGGCTAGCGCAATTTCATTTTCATCTTTAGTAGAATCAGTTGTAAAAAAAGCAAATTCTCGTCTGAAATTTTTGTACAGATATCAAAGTTGTATGGATTTAAAAGCAAGACGTACACTCTGTTTTGCTCTTATTCAATGTTTATTTGACTATGCTAACCCTGCATGGTACAGTAACATAAACAAGTCAGATCAAAAGAAGTTGAAGATTATACAGAACAAAATGGTGAGATTTATCAACTGTTCTGGTCCAAGAACTCATGTTGGCTATAGCGAACTTTCTAAAGCTGGTTTTCTTGAAGTCGACCAAAGATCAAAACAACTCGCATTGCATCACGTGCATAAAATATATCATACTAGGGCGAATCATTATATTCGATCCAACTTCGATCTTGTTACTGACGTACATGATTATAATACAAGAAATAGACGATTCAACTTTAACTTACCAGAAAGAGTAGGTAGTATTGGAAATTCGTTTTATTACAATGCCATAAAACATTGGAATTCCCTTCCCAATGGTGTAAAAGAAATAGGAAACTATGATCATTTTAAGAGGAAATTAAAGGAATACCTAATACTTGACAGTCAGAGAAGAGAAGTGAATGACATGTTATATGATTGAAATTGTTATTCTTCTGTCGGTTCATACTTTTTCATGTTGTATATACTTATGTTTTCGTACGTTATAGAAATTCTACAAATTCATCATTATTTTCCTCTTCTTCCTTCTCCTCTTTTTCTTCTTCTCCTTCTTCTTTTTCTTCTTGTACTTAATATCATTTCTATCATCAGTTTAATGTTGTTATTATTATCTTTAATAAGTAGTTCTTTTAATTTTCTTATCTGTCTGTAAATATTACTATTTTAATTTATTAATTGTATACATGTCTGTAAGGGACCCCACTGGAAATAAGCTCTCGAGCTTTCGTGGGTTATCCTGTTCAAGCTGACTTATTTTTGATCTGTTATTATTGTATATTGTTGTATATTGGAAGCTTGTCGAATAAAAATCAATCATCAATCACAAGTCTTTTACCATATTAAAGTGTTTTATAGACTTTGTTTGTTTAAATGCTTGACAATCCCAATGAATTTTTTTTTTATGGAAAAAAAAATATTAAAAAAAAAATACTCCAGAAAAGCAATCGAGGACAACCAAACAAAAATTTGTTTTTGGCCTTCAACAGTGTATATATATATATTTTTTTTTGGGGGGGGGGGGCACTGACGTACTGATGGGGGGGGGGGCTTAATTGGGGGACGGGGGCTTGGGTGACAGATCTACACCTTGTTGGCGGGAAAATCACAACTGATCTCCCTTACCTTTCTTCTTTCTCTTTTTTTTTCTTTCCCTTTCTCTATAGCTCCTCTTTTCCCCTTCCCTAATTCTTTCTCTCTGATTTAGGCTTGCTGGGACTTTTGACCCCCCCCCCCCCTCCGATCCACGCGTTGTTGGCGGGATTAATCGCAACTGTTCTCCCCTTCTTTTCACCCTTTTCTTGTCTTCGATGAGTCCTCTTTTGTGTTCCCTTTTAGCTCTCCTCTTTCCCTTTCCCTCCCTCCCCCCCCCCCTTTGGGGGTGGGGGTGGGGGGGGGGGGCAGAGGCAAGGACCTTTTGGCCCCCCCCCCCCCCGAACTACAAACTTGTTGGTGGGAAATTGCAACTGCACTAATTGATCCCCCTTCTTTTCTTCTTCCTCTTTTTTTCCTTCCCTTTATCTCCTCTTTTCCTTTTTTCTTTCTCTTTCCTTCTTTCTCTCTTATTTTGTGATGGGGGGGGGGGGGGGAGATAACAGCTGGGAGGCATGCAATAAGGCCCTTTCGCCCCCCCCCCCCGGCCCCCCGATCTCCTTTTTTTGTTTTCCTTTTTCTTTTCTTCTTCCTCTTCTTTCTTTCCTTATCTCTCCTCTTTCCCTTTCCCTTCTCTCTCTCTCTCTCTCTCTCTCTCTCTCTCTCTCTCTTTGTTTGCGGGAAACCGCTCGCCGCCACCCCCAGGCGCGTAGCAACGGGGGGGGGGGGGGAGGGGGCACGTGCCCCCTAAAATTTCCAAGATCGGTTGAACTTCTGTAGTTTTACCTCGATCGATTACATGTATGTGCCCCCCCCCCCCAAAAAAAAAAAACATCAGACTCTGGCTACGCGCCTGGCCACCCCCTCCCCCACCCCCGTGGATCCTCGCCTGGCATTATACTAGTAGCTGGGAAAATCTCAGATGTAGTTGTGATATATAATTTCAATAAACATTGTTTTATAGCTTAATAAATATCTTGACCTTGAGAGGGAGCTATACAACATAAAAAGTACTCGATTTCGACCGCGACATAACATTGATCGACCGCAGATATTATACCAGTTCATTTGAACAAATTTCATGACCCCATACCAAAACTTCATAAGTAAACTAAGTTAGATCTATAGGCTAGACCTCTAGTGTTTCTTACTTAGCATGGCCGACGAACAAACGCTAGCTCAGACAGCAAAAGCAGGCGGAGACACAATATTTGGCAAGATTATACGAAAGGAAATCCCTGCAGATATTTTATATGAAGATGATACGGTGTGTATAACAATTTGAATACAAATAAATTTCATGAAATTAATGTTGGTCTATTCTGTTGTTCCACATATTGAGTTATTTGTTAGTTAAACTAGCCAACTTGCGGGCGCCTAGCTGCACACATAACTACATCTCTATCCTGGCGCTGGCTGTGTATTAAAAGCTGTGCATTGTGCTAGTTTTCTCAACATTTCAAACACCACTGTAATAAATCGATTGCGCTCGATAGCATTGAGCAACAATAAACAACATATAGATCTAGGTCTACACTAGGCTTGTTGTTTGCACCATGTGAAAGAGGGGGGAGAATTGGGGAGACCTGGAAATGACTCTCGGTAATCTTTCTTTCTTGAGTGTGTGTGTAGTCCTCAAAAGGAGGCACGTGTTGGTTATCTTTCTTAGCTTATAGTTTTTAGGAGAACTATAGTGCCAGTTGGAGCGGATGGTTAGTAGGAGTGGCTTGACGTTTCGAACAGGTTGACTATCCATCGTCACTCCTGACCATTTGAAAGTATACAGCAGGTTTTATAAAATATTGCGTGAATGTACTGCAGAACAGTGTAGTAATGCGCTATGTGTGCCCTAAACCATCTTCGAAGTTTGTTTATAGTACCGTATTTGCCGGCGATAAGGCCGCAGCGCTGTATAGGCCGCACCCCCGATTTTGACATCTAGAGACTTAGAGTAGAGTCTCCGGTTTGCGGCATCGCCCGGTTTGCGGCCAGGGGTATTTGTTTTAAAAATAAAATGAATATGACTCGATAATAATCATTGAAACCTACCGTGGATTCCACGGTAAGTTCTGCTTTGCCGAAAACGTCCGTAGCAGGTGCTCCTGTCGGTACGGAGTATCCGTCAGCGATGTTGGAAATCTACGGCACCAGTCGCCGATGAAAATTCCAGCAGGTGCTAACTTTTAAGTTAAGAGATCGAGGCATGACTAGATCAATATTGTAGCTCTATTTGTCCGATTGGAGGTGAAATTTGATGTTTTTGTTTAAGTATGATGGCTGTGGTCTGTCTCCTATCGCAGATATTTTGATTGTGCCACCGCATGGCCAGTTGCATGGGGTGGCCGCAAACCGGCACGTAATTACGTGTTTTTTCTGGTTTGCGGCGGGGGGTGTTAATACACACATAACATGCGGGATCGTGTATGATGGTATGTGTGCTGATGTGTGTACCTGCTATGACCCGATAGTTTCTAGTAGTACTTACCCCCGGATGGGATGATCCATTCGAGGAAAAGGTGAAATTGTTTAAAACTTGACAAATTTACCGTAGCAACAGATAAACATGAGAATTTGGGTTACCCGTAGTAATTTGGTACATGCTTTCATCGTGACGTAGCGCATAAAGCTTTGTGACGTACGCGTGCCGCAAACCGGTAATGCGTGCCCGCAAACCGGGGAACTCGGAGCATTTCGAAACGTGGTCAATGCTGACCACGCTGTGGGTCAGTTAGGTTATTTGTGACTTCTATTTAATAAGTAAGTATATGGACTCTTTATTGAGGGTATTGAAGTATTCTGTGAGTATTCCAATAAAAATAGAATCGGCAGTTCCCGCCGATCGGCCGCAGACCAGAGCCACTACTCTAAAAAAAAAAAAAAAAAAAAAAAACTTTTGTCAAAGTCGAGATTTGATCTCTTGCGTTCAAATGTTGATGTGACTAAAATTACCGCCTTAGACCGCTCGGCCATCCCGCACTGATGCTAGCATCTGGAGTTTTTTGTGATGTATACATTGCGCCTCTCTCTTGTGTACCGTATTTTCCGGCGTAAAGGCCGCAGTATTTTCGGGTGAGAAAAAATCAAAAAGTCGGGGTGCGGCGTATACGCAACAACAACAAAATACAGCGGTCAAAACATCACGTCCATTTGCACGTATGGGACTATAGGAACGGTAGCATGACTAGACAACGGTACAGGACAATTCTAGAATAACTCCACACAACTTACTGACAAGTTTATGTTGCAGAGTTGACATGAAGACGAAAAAACTTATTTTTCTAATAAAATCTGCCGATAGATCTAGATCTAAGTCCATACCATTGCATCGCCAAAAAGTAAACAAAGGGACAGGCCGTTACTTACGGAGCTAGCTGCCGCGCAACGCAACTGCGCAGGTCGAAAAATGCTATTTCGGATTACACCGCACATCGAGGAAGGGGTATTGTAGGATACCAAATCTGCGTACGATACAGTACTAGCTTAAAAGTCGATGAAGATCTGCTAAATTATGATCATTTTTTAGGTTAACTTCTTGTTGATTTATAAGAATATTGATGAATTTGGTATAGTTTGCAAAAAAAAAAGAGTGTTCTACAAGAAAATTACGATCATTTTGTTTGGTCCGTTTTTTTTTTCTCTTTTTTTTTTTTTTGTTGTTGTTTTTTTTGTTGTAGTTTTTTTTTTCCTCTACGAAATGTCAAAGTTGGGGGTGCGGCCTATACGGCGGTGCGGCCTTTACGCCGGCAAATACGGTATTGAAATGGATTCAAAATAGCGACTTCGCGTGCTGGATGCTTCGCGGCAGCTCCGTTAAACGGGCCCTTCTTTTTCTTTTACAATGCATTGGCACGAACTTAGATCAAGATCTATCGGCAGATGTTGTTTTTGGAAGTTTATTTTCGTCTTCATGTCAACAATGCAAGATAAAAGTGTCGGTAAGATGTGTGGAAATGTATAGTTATTGTACCGTTCGTAGATCTAGTTCCATATGTGCAAATTCGTGCTGGTTTTGACTTACTTTTAAATTTTTTTTTACTCTTTCGCCGCATAGGCCGCACCCCGACTTTTTGATATTTTCTCTTCCAAAAATACTGCGGCCTTTACGCCGGCAAATACGGTAACCCTATTGGTGGGGTATTCTAAAGTTAAGCCCTAGCGTTAATTTGCGCCCATACCCTTGCGTGAAGAGGCAGGTAAACAAAACCTAAAAATCGCTCATTTATATCATTATCAACCCTTCCTGCAACGAATTGCACTCTGGCTTCAGACTCCGAGTTCATTAGTCATGCCTAGTGGACTCTTTATTTTTTTCTTGTACAATTACAAAGTCAAAGCACTTTGAAATCAGTCAAGATCAGTCAAGATTCAAGTAATTGAAAAAATATATGATATTTTGATACCAGAGTGAAATAGATTTGCCTACCTTACACATGTTCCTGACGATAATTGTAGTAAAGCCTAAAGGTGCGATCTACATTACAAATTCGCGGACCTCTTAGGCTCTTGGTTCTTACAAGAGTTTGCATTTGAGATGTTGGTTCCGGCTAAATTACAAAGACATGCGGTCTACATGTAAAAATCAGTTTTTGCATTGCCAATTTGATATTCACTTTACGATAAAAACGATTGGTGAAGTAATAGTGTCAGAGGCGCATGCACAGAGTTCGCTGAATTTGACCAAATTTAAAACAGACTTTCTTCATAGTATATTGTATTTGTTTTGAAATATTAATTTTCAATATTATTCAATCTTTGCAGACTATAGCCTTCAAGGATGTCAATCCTACGGCCCCTGTTCATTTCCTGGTGATCCCTAAGAAGCCTATTTCAGGCATCTCAGCTGTAGAGAAGGATGACGTACAGGTACAGTGAGAGTTTGATAAGACCAACATTCATGGCTGTTGTGAAATCTATAGACTCAAATGTCTGAATAGTTTAACAGGTTCAGGATGACTTAAACCATTTAAAAATTGTCACATCCATGTATCAGAGAACCAAATACTTTTAAAGCTAAAGGGCCTGGTTCCATCTTTATGTTAACATTCACTTAAAGGGAGTCACGCATCAGTTTCCATGTGCAGAAGGCCATAATTCGCTCACACCAGACTTTGTGGGAAAACCATTGATGGGAGTACAAATCTGCACACAGCAAACCCGTTGGCCAGTCAAGAATTACTCCCTTATCTCTCAGATACTCTTTTCACACTGGTTTTGCTTAACCCCGTACTTTGCTTAGCCCCGTACTATCCTTAACCCCGGACTATTTTTTTGGCTTTTCACACTCGCTTTTTTTAGTCCCGTACTAGCGCCTATTCCGGAATAAGAAAATTCCCGCTGTTCTCACTGCATTTCGTTAACCCCGGATATCGTGTATGTTATGATAGGACATACTTCGCATCTGGCCAGCTGCGATACGCTCCATTGCGTAGTACCGGACTATGTTTCGTTTCTGTTCTCATTCATTTGCTTAGCACCGCAATTGCGGGGTTAGCAGGAGTTAGCACCACAATTGCGGAGTTAACCCTGCTATTTTGCAGGGTTAGTTAACCCCGTACTATAGGTGGGGTTAGCCAACTTTAGCCCACTTTGGTAAAAACCAGTCTGAACAGAAAGTGGAATAGGCTTAACCCCGTACTATAGGTGGGGCTAAGACCCCCCCTTAACCCCACCTATAGTACGGGGTTAAGCAAAATATTGCCAGTGTGAAAACAGTAAGAGAGTCTAGCTTCGGATCCCATCGGATGAGGGAAAAGCAAAGCATTACATAAGGTCTAATGGTCATAAAACTCAAGGCTACCATAACCCTGGTGATTGACAACACCCGTTATTGGGTAAACACTCGACCGATGTTGAATTCCCCATGAGAGCTTACTACTGAGTAGGCGTGTCTGCACTATCTCGAGATTGCCAAATATCCAGCTATTTTGAACTATCCCGATCGAAACTATCCAGCTATTTGCGTCTTCATTAGACCGAAGTGGCAAATTAGCTGGATAGTTGGTCGGGATAATATCCCAAGATATCTCGGTCTAGTTTGCAAAATATCCTTCTATTTCCGAACTAGCGGGATAGTTTGCGACCGTCTTCATTAGACCGAAGTACGGAGTCAATTATCCCGATCCCATCATGCACAACGATTTCCGGTTCGCACATGCGATCTATACCGCTCAGCGCTGACCTCGCAACCACTGACCTCGAGTAAACACGGAAAACCGCAAACTAGACCGAGATATCTTGGGATATTATCCCGACCAACTATCCAGCTAATTTGCTACTTCGGTCTAATGAAGACGCAAATAAGCTGGATAGTTTGCGATCGGGATAATTCAAATAGCTGGATATTTGGCAATCTCGAGATAGTGCAGACACGCCTTATGTCTTTAAACTTTATTCATATTACAGGTATGGGCTATGCCCTAATATTTGTAAAAAGCCTTAAAGTGATTTGGTAACATTGTTGAATGTTGATTTAAAAAAAATTGCTTAATTTTTGTATAAAATGTTACTTACTTTATATTCCTTCTACTGAACTAACCCTCTGACATGCAAAAAATCCTGAAAAATTCTCTAACCACAAAGATATCTATGGTTTTCTTTGAAGGAGTCGATGTATGATGTATGACACCCTCTAACAGTGATTAACAGTAAATTTTCCCAACCATTTTTTAATTTTCCCAACCGTTTTTCCATGAAAAAAAGACATAAAACAGGCAATAAAAAATCTGTCAACACTTAAATGTCTGGAATGGAATGTAGAGCCATTTTATTGCTTTGTGACGATTTCCATTCACCTAAAATGTAATTTAATTGTAATAATATAGTTGGGAGAATTAAGGAATCGATCAGATCATTTTTTACCAATTTGCACCATGAATAATAGTCCGTTTTCACTCAAATTTTCAGATTATCTTTAATTGTACATCTTTCATTGAAGTCACTACTAGTGCTGTAGTCAAACGTTTAACCGTCCGGTATCCGACCGCCCATGGCGGATTCCGTTTTCAATTGGACGGTTTCGTTTTCCCGTTTTGTTTTGTTTTTTTTTGTTTGTTTTTTTTTCTAATAATTTTTTTTTTAATTTTAATTTTTTTTTTTTTTTTTGTGGATTTTTGTGGATTTTTTTTTCGTTTCGATTTATGACCCTCCACCTGGCACTATGCCTGGCAATGTCTCCCAGCTCAGTAATCTGTGTGTTGACTCACCACTCCGAAACTAGAACAACACTCAAATTTGTCTGTCATCTTGGTTTGAAAGTAATCTTTGTAATAGATCTCAATATGTAGTTTATAATAATAATTCATCCAACTTTTACAAGGTTCTATCCTAGGCCCTCTACTGTTTTTAATTTACATTAATGATCTTACACATTCTTCTAAAAACGACATTGTTACTATTATTTGTGACAAGTTCACAAGCACAATCGGCGCCTTCAAATGCACCTCACAGTTAAATGAAAGTCCTTCCCGATTTTTCACACGGACCTGGCTTGCTAAAAAAATTAAATTTTTTTTTTTGTAATCGTTTAACCGAAAAACGTCCGGTTTTGACTGGCGGTTAAACGGAATTGGAGATATCCGTGATGTTACAGCACTGGTCACTACCTTAGCATCACTATCTCTCATCTGAACAATATTACCAAGTCCCTGTAAGTAGAAAACTGTACAAGTATTGATTGTTTTGAGGGGCATGGTTAAAACTATTGCCCAAGGTGATCTCAAAACTGTCCTATATCCATCGGAGGCATAGTGTAATCTGGAGGTCACCGAGGAACTTTGGTTTTAAATGGGTTCCAAATATAAGATCAAAGGTCACAGGGCTCATTATGTATGCAAAAATAGCTTGTGATCGCCTTATTTCAAGGACAAGTTGATCGATTCCCTCCAAAGTTAAGTGTTGTATGTATCTTGCAGAGCCAATGAACTGATTAGATTTTGGAGTCATGGGTCAAATTTCAAAGGTCACATGGCTCATTATGTATGCAAAAATAGCTCGTGATCGCGTTTTCTCAAGAACCGATTGATGGATCGCCGCCAAACTTGAATTTTAAAATTTGTTTCTGTTTTGGTTTGTAAAATTGCTCCATGTCAGTTTGAATTCGCGATCTATGATGTAACGATAATTATGATAATTCTGTTACTTAGTAACACAATTTTAGCGCAATCCACTCATCACATTTTTTGTATATATTTTGTTGCATTTGTTTGTAAATTTTAATTTTGACCCAATAAACAAAACACTAAAAAGTAACCTCTTTTGGGAGTGAATTTTAAGTGATTTTAAAGTATGGTGCCTTTTGAACTAGATTTAAACTTTATCGACACGTGCGTTCATTTAAACAAAAAAGGTACTCACGTTTTCATCTAACCTAAACGCTACCAATATATCACGCGACTGGAGTAACGTGATTCCACTTGCCTCTGTAAATCACGTGTTTATGACCAAATAACCACTTGACCAAGCAACGAGTTTTTTGTCCGTTAACCGATGGTGGTGATAAATAAGTAATTCTGATGTGTCTTACACACCTCTTTAAATGATTTCAAAGTTACCATAACTTTCTTGGTTATGATCACGTAGCTAAAACTGATTACTAATCTAAGCTGTGAATCCGTGATTTTTAGGCGTGAAAAATTAGTCATTATTAGGTGTCTTAAAACACCTATTTGAATGGTAGTCAAACTTGCCAGCAGTTCCGTGGTGATGATCTCGTGACTCAAACGGATTATTAATATAAGCTGGGTATTCCGTAATTTCTAGGTGTGAAAAACAAGTTATTTCAGGTTGTCTTGATGGTTTCACAGTTACTATTTAAGCTCCGTGGTGATAATCCCGTGACTGTTGGCATATTTCTATTTTCACCAGTTGATAACTGACTGTTGGCATCTATTCATTGCACCAGTTGATAGCTGGTCTGTGTGCATATTTCCAGTTGAACCAGCTGACACCAATTAATTTGCATATTGAATATGGGGTGCGTGCAGATCTATGTTTTTTAAACAATTTATCTGAATTTACAGCATATTTCTTAATTACTGATGATTTAGTCATGTGCAATTCATTTTGAAAATACTACAAATATAAATTACCAGTTATTAGGACATTTCGCTACTTGGTATAAGGGAAACATTAACTATGAACTAAAATAATTTCAATAAATACAAGTATATGAACATTTTTCGATTCATTAAATTATGTAAGTCTACTTATTACCAATGCCTTTACATTGGAAATACAGGCGTACCAGTATTGGAGTGTTGTTGCCCGGAAATTGAAATGGTTCTAATGGCTCAGCTAGACCAGTTGAATTCTAACTGGCCTGGATCAACTGGATCATTTAGCCCATTTCAATTTCCGGGGTTACCAGTTGGCATTAACTGGTTCATCAACTGGACCAGTTGCAACTAGCTTTCTCTTCTGGGATGTTTGCACCCACCCACACATCCCCCCCCCCCCCCCCCCCACCCCCTCTAATCCCAAACTGCTTCCGGCGCGCCTGGACGAAATTATGGAAGATCCAAAACACGATGTTCAGGATGAGAACGTCATTATTTTGGTTCATTTATTTGTGTAACATTTGCGTAATTATTGGGTTGAACGCGGGTTACAGTAACATATTTCCTCTTCGACGTAAATTTCATGTGCATGAAGAACATGTTTTATCTCAAGTCAGCCTCGTAATATTCACGTGAATTTCACGCAGATATTTTGACTAAAAGTATCACTAAGCTTCACGTGTTTCTGTGACGCGATAATTTCGTTTATGAAGATGTAATTTCATAACCAAACAAACACGGGAGTATTAGGTTTACAAACCATGCAGGCCAGCAAGCTGTATTGAGAAAAGCTGTAAAGTGAAAGTGATAGGCGGTCATTGTCGCTTCGCGACAGAAAGCTACTATACTACTACCTACATACTTATCTCTGCAATGAATTATTCATTGTAATGAATTGTAATGAATTGTAATGAATTATGGTGACTCAAGTTTGATGCCCAATAATACATACCGGTACATGTATGTTGTGAATTACTTAAATTGGCATTTATTTCTTAGGTCATATTGATCCTTTGAGAAATATGTAGGCAAGATTTTCCAAAAAAATTGAGGCAAGTTCATCTAAATATCAAATATGTATTAGAAGGAAATGCCCCTATGGCCAATCTTGGGGTAAAATTTCCATAGGGAGAATTTTCAAGGGGTCAAAATATGCACGTAAGAGTGGAAAATTTGCATTTACCTATTTTACTAGGACCAATATGGTTTAATTTGTACTGCATTGATATTCTGTGAAGACTGCCTCCTACTAGAATTATTATCCCCTCGCCGACGAAGTCAGAGGGGATATAGTAACGCTACCGTCCGTCCTTCCGTGCGTGCGTGCGTCTTTCTGTAACAAATTTGGTTTCCGATGGATAACTTCAGTAATGAAATATGATATAAAGGTACATGATTTCAAAATACAGGCTAAGTTCAATTTTAAGTACGTAGGTCAAAGGTCAAAGCTCATTAAATATGCATAAAAATACAAATCTGGTTTTCGATCGATAACTTTAGTAATAATTGACAGATTTTAATGAAATTTGATATGAAGATACACAGTATCAAAACACAGCCTAAGTTCAATTTCTGAGTTTGTAGGTCAAAGGTCATAGCTCATTAAATATGCGTAAAAATAGAATTCTGGTTTTCGATCGATAACTTTAGTACTGTTTGACAGATTTTAATGAAATTTGATATGAAGATACACAGTATCAAAACACAGCCTAAGTTCAATTTCTGAGTTTGTAGGTCAAAGGTCATAGCTCATTAAATATGCGTAAAAATAGAATTCTGGTTTTCGATCGATAACTTTAGTACTGTTTGACAGATTTTAATGAAATTTGATATGAAGATACACAGTATCAAAACACAGCCTAAGTTCAATTTCTGAGTATGTAGGTCAAAGGTCATAGCTCATTAAATATGCGAATCTGGTTTCCGATCCATAACTTTAGTATTGTTTGACGGATTTTAATGAAATTTGATATGAAGGTAGATGGTATCAAAACACAGCCTAAGTTCAATTTCTGAGTATGTAGGTCAAAGGTCATAGCTCATTAAATATGCGAATCTGGTTTCTGATCCATAACTTTAGCATTGTTTGACGTATTTTAATGAAATTTGATATGAAGGTTCATGGTATCAAAACACAGCCTAAGTTCGATTCCTGAATATGTAGGTCAAAGGTGAAAGGTCATAGCTCATTAAATATGCAAAAACACCTAATTATATATGTGAAAATGTGGTTAACCTCCTTGCCTAGTAATGTAATAGTATAGTCCAATGGAGGTAACTTGTTCTGACGTATATTTATAGGCCATTTGTTACCCTGCGAGGGATCGATGCTACGCTTTGCGTTGACTTGTTTTTTTTCTTCTTCATTTCTACTTCCACTGTTCAGATCCTTGGTGAGCTGATGTACACAGCGAAGAAGGTTGCACAGGAACAAGGACTGACCAACGGATATCGGCTAGTGGTCAATGATGGTAAAGATGGCTGCCAATCTGTCTACCACATTCATATCCATGTCATAGGTGGCAAGCAACTGTCCTGGCCTCCTGGCACTGAGTAGGTTGTGGGTTGTTTAATACATTGTAGCTTTTGTGTGATTCAACAATGAGTGTGAAGCACAGTTGTAGTACTTTTAAAATCATTGATTAAAGCGTCTTATGGTATTTTCAACTGATAAAATAAGAAGAATTAGATGACATAGTGTAAAACAAGAAATTGTTCAACTTCATCTGTTACATAGAGGTTCGGTTCATATGACATCTCAGAAGTAGGTTTCCTTTTTTCCCTCCTTTTTTCCCCTCAATTTTGAGTATAGAACCAGAAGTTGACTTCAAGTTTGAGCAGAAATAGCACAAGTTGTCAAGATTGAAGTTAGCCGGTTTAAATTTATATGTATCATTGACACCACCACCACCCCCATGCCATTAAAACTATCGTATGGAAAGTTATCAACTAAACTGGTACATCAGCTCTAGAAAGTTGATGTGAAGGGGGCACAGGAATGAGGGATTGGTGCATGCGTCTTCTTTGCCCCCTTCTCCCTTCTCATTGCATCGGCACAAAAATATTCTATCACATGTATGTGTGTGTGTGTCATTGTGTAATTGGGTTTTTACAGACGTGTATCAATCAGATATGATTATTTATGTCTGGGGACAGACCTTTAACCATCCGAAAGACGCGACTCAGTTTCGAAACTGCGTCCTCGGCTGAATCAGTTTGTAACTTCCATTGTTAACTGGATAACAGGCGCACGCCACAATGCCCCGTTAAGTTTGTAACTTCCATTGTTAGCTGGATTACAGGCACACGCCACAACGCCCCGTTATCATATGTCATATTCGCAGTTTATATATAGCGTACATGTATGTCAAGATTCTAGGTCTCTGATTGGTCAAAACTGCAGGCATGAATTTTGCTTCTGCTGGACAGTATACTGGTAGTTATATAATATTGGATGACCTTGAGTGCGATACAAGAATATTTTGCTCGAGCTATGACAATATATTCTTGTATCACACAAAAACAAAGCCATACAATATTATTATTATCTATATTATGCTAACTAGCGAAATAACAAAATTTGACTTACCTCAGTAAATATGGCTTTGTTTTCGTGTAATATCTATATCAATAGTATACAAATAGTGAATGGTCATGAGTGCAATGGTACAAGATTTTGCACGAGGTGAAAGCTAAGAGACGCTATATTCAACGAGGCGCAGCCGAGTTGAGTGGAGCATCTCATCTTTCACCGAATGCAAAATATTGTTCCATTGCACGAATAAAGACCATTCACTATTTGTTGTATACAACACCTTGGACGTTAATGGGCTTAAAACAGTTTTCCTAGCCCTAAATCTCAGCGATTTTTTTGTTTGTTTTCAATTGATGAAATTGCTGATAGTGAGTGCGCACTATTAAGCAGGCAGCAAACCACGCGCGTACCATGCGTCGTGCGTACCAACCTTTATGTTTATTGTTACGCGGAGTGCAATTTCGTTTGATCCTTTCGCACCATTGCACTCTAACATCACTTAGCTCACCATATACTTTGTACATCGTTAGTGACGTCAGAGTGCAATGGTGCGAAAGGATCAAACGGAATTGCACTGCTGGAGAATGATGCCGTTTAATGGTACTTTTAGTGCATGTCATGTGATCAAGAATTGACCAATGAGGTTGTAAGAATCTTAGTAGGCATTGTATAATAGAAGTTCCCGGATTCCTGAGCAATACGAAAACAATATTGGTCGGTCATCCGGGTACTTCGCTAAAGGTATTGAATACACTGATTTAATGTACAACTTGGAAGCCTTATATAGATAATAATGAAAAATATTGAACAGGTTTCAAGTACAATACAAGAATGCAATAGTCGTGCGTCAAATTAACTGTGCATTGAGAAACGTGCAATGCATTTAGACGGGTTAATTCAATTTGACTCTACAAATAAATACTCTTTGACATGCAAATTGTGTTCAATCTTTTTGATGCATTGACAGGGGGATGCAGTATATAAACAAAATATTGACTGCTAATTTTTGGTTCATGGCTAAAATTTCCGAGTGATCTCGAGTGGGCACTGTACATTTAATAATTATTACTTGTGAGGTTCATAATGGGTTGTATAGAGCCACAAACATTTTTGTGGTAGGAAACTTACAGGAATTGTTACTGATTGCCATTTGTGCAACAAGAAACTTCACAAATTGTGCATGACAACTTTGTTTATCGGCAGTAAGTTTCATTCATTTCAAAATTATCCACTGTTGGTATCGCGGCATGGACATTCAACCACTTGCAAAGGTTTCTAGTTTGTAGTATACATATGCCATTTTGGCCATTGACTCTTACAAAACCTTTGCACTATCTCATGGTATCTCCACATCCATAGGACCTTTCACTCTTACTTGAACTTGATAAGAATTTCTACTTTCTTCTTATCTAGTCATTCATCCGTTAAATATAAATGCTTAAATTTGTGTTTGCAATACCTGAAGTCATGAACTGATTTTCATTTTTTGTTTTGTTATGCTTGTTTTTTTCTATGTTATAGAGTAATAAAACAAATTTTCCTGTAGAATTTCTGGCGAGTACATGCCTCATGAGTTTAGTGTGTTATCATACTTTATAATAAAGACCATTTCTATTACCTTATGAAGGTATTTTAATGCTCTTCGAATAAGAGTACTCTGTGTAGTGTGTAGCCACATATATAATACATTCACCTGGATGATGGTGCTTGAAAAGTATTCAGTTTACACTAATTCATGGGATTGCACATTTAAAAAATGTGTACCATGTATTTTAATGTTTCCTGAAATAAGAAATCCCAATCATATCAACTTTTCCAAAATAAAATGAGAAATACCTGTAGTCAGTCTAGCGTGTTCTGTATTTGTTTGTGTTTATTTGTCTCAGGGTACCAGTAGCATGTTTGTGACTCAAGACAGTGTGATGGCTCGAGGATGAAGGATGCTGCTTGGTTTATCAGATTGTTCAGTGAGCTGTTGGCAGATATAGGTGTTGAAAAATGTTGTCCAAACTTGTCATTTGAAGTTGTAATTTATTGTAAGTGATTGTATTAAATATTGCCCATTTAAAGTGTACCTATCACCCAAACCTGTTATGCTCTTGATGTAAGGGTTCCATGTGGCTATACCGTTTTCAAAATTCTACCTTCAAATATTACTTCTACAAAGAGATATGTAATTTAAAAGTGAACAGCAATACGTCTTGTTGAGTAGACGAGTTAATGCACATGTACCGGTATACACTGGGACTAAGGTTCATTGCGAGCCCTTTACCCAAGGTTTCATGTTATCCTTTATTTTTTCTTCATACTCCTCAACAGTTTAAGTCTGTTAATTTTGGAAAGGTAGCTCTGGTACTGAATGATTACCGGTGTAATTGTGAATTGATTAAGTAAAGTCCTGCACAAAGTATATCAAACTAAAGAAAATGAAAAATGCTTGTCTAGATTGCATTAGGCTGAGGGACGACGGGTATTATGAAATTGTATAATTAATGCATAAACTTGGGGGTGAGATATTCATAATTTCAGCAAATTTCTACAGAATTTAAGTTAGCTGCAAAAGGGATACAAAACCTTTAAAGGGCTGAATTTCAACATTAATTGGTTCCTTAATGGCCATATGGTTATCTCAAATTTATAATATTCCTTACCTTATAAAAAATAATGTCTTAAAGCTTATCTGTACTAGTTTATAGGAGGGATTAGACCACCCTGCAAGGTTACTGGACATGTGGTTATCTCATTAACTTGGCTCTCAATTAGCTACAAGTAGCTATAAGTAGGACAGTGTGGCTTTATATGTATGAGATTAACCTGAAAATGAGCTTGTCTCTCCCTGTCTCTCTATCTTGCTCCTTTACCCCGCTCTGTATATTCCTGCCCTCTTTATATTATATTTCTACTTCTTGATCTCTTTCTTTATGCAATGTTTTTCATATTCCAACAATGTGACTGCATTTAATATATGTGATAATCAAACGGGCATTACCAGTATTTAAAGCACATTATAGGATGTATCCTTTATTTAAATCATTGAAACATTTTATTGCACATTATTTATAAAAAGAATGAAATTTGCTCTTTAAGTGTATATATATTTAAAAGAACCAGAGGACAATTTTCTTCACTTTATCTACTGCTTTTAGTTCTTGTTCAACACTTTGTGATAACCAACTAATCAGTCTGATACACAAGACACCACGTTTTTTTCAAAAGAAATAATTTTTATAAACTTAATGTGTTTTAATAATTCATACAGTAATAATGCAACATATCAATGAGAGTATTTTTTTATTAATGAAAATATTAGAGAGATTGGGCATAAAAAAAAAAGAGTAGAGGTGGACAATGTGAACATTTTGCAGAGTCAGATTGCGCCTCTGAAAGGGTCCTTGACCATCAAAGGTTGTATATTTAAATACCCATGGAATGGAAAACTACAATCATACTTGCTACCCCCGTCACTACATCCCAAAATAATCACATCATGTTAGAAAATCTATCAAACACTTTTAATCAATGCAGTATAGAGGAAAAACGTACCAAAAAGTTGCAGTAACATTATTTGTCTATGTACAAATTAACATGAAATGTAATTATTCATTCAGTACACATCCATCTTATTAAATTTTTAGTTCACAGATTTCCACATTCTTATCTTGGCAGTTCCTATTTCAATTTGCGTGTAATAATTACATGACGGCTAATAAAATGATGCCACCTGCTTGAATCATCAAATTCTCAATATTAAGCTCAGCGAGAGAATCTTTTATGATGCATGTATAAGATCTCAGAGAAAATATACTTTTTGAATTGTCAATGAAGCCCCAACAAAATTCACTGTCAAGAATAAAATTGCCAATAGCTGCACAGGCAGGGCTGAGATAAAATACAATCTATCCATCACGTTGTCTATCTTGAGTGATATAAGTAACACCCTTCTTGCACTCAGGAGACAATATCATAAACTGGTTGCCTGGCATGTTTCTTTTGCTGTCTGATAGAGGACAATTCAAATTACCAATGCATGAGAAAGACCTTGATTAGCTTTGAGTATTGATTACAGCTGTTGAACGATTAAAATTCAATGTAATAAGAATCTGACAACATGGAAGAAAATGTGACATCTACATTTTCAGCCAGCCATCAACAAAGCTATCAGTTTTCCCCTTGATGTCTTCCTAAATACTGTACTTGCGTATATAACCTATTAAAGAAGAGTCCAAGAATAAAATATATTTTGAAATGAAATACTGATGAGGATTCAACTGTACACACCCCAATACACTTTCAAAATAACCTAAACTTCACTTCAAATGCAAAATATGATTATCAATTTATCAAGCCTGATCTGTGAAAAAATGCTTCATTAGAATGCCCTCTTTGAGAGTTACATGTACACCTTTTTGATGTCAACTAGAATAGTCATATTTCGTTAAATTTCTTCAGATCATTGATGGTAGTTACTGCCACTGAATCATTCGCACTACATTCCGACACCAAGCAGTATTAAGAAATCTGTAAATAAACCCCTCAAAAAAGTTTGGAAACTCAAGTACGAACGATTATATCTCTTATGAAAATAACTTTCAACAAATGTGTACCGTACATCTGTTCACATACCGGTAATCAATGCTTTTACCATTCAGATCCTACTACCCGCCATTTAAAAATTCAACAAAAATCAGTTGGACTATCATTCAAGCTGTGCCAGAAATCTTGTGACTATGATGTTTATTCACTGCACTTGAATAACAATTTCATTTAGTTTTAATTATCCTTGTTGGTGCAAAGTGTTCAAACTTATCCTGATTTAGACAGAATTTCATGAATATCAGACTATTCCTGAAAGTCAGACAAAGGTTTGTGATCAAAGATTCTCATGTTTTCAAGTCCATGTTCACAAACAAACTCTGACTTGTCACATCACATTAGGATTATTCTCCTTTAATAGATAGATTCTTCTTCTTTTCTTTTTTCACTCCTTAAACTTTGTCCCATCTTCTTTTGAACACCAGTCCAATCATTTATCCATCAATATGACACAATTAACAAGTTCATGTCATCATGGAAAACAGAAAACTTCCACAAGTGATATATAATGTGATGTTCATATTTAAAGAAGAATAAAGAAAAAAATATATATAAACATGTATATACACATGTATATAAATTCATCACCAGTTCCTTAAGGTTTTCATGAAGCTGCAGGTAGTCCAGAATCAACTCAATTCCTTTAAATGTTAACAAAAATGTCATATTCCATCTCTTTCTCTCTTCTCTAATATGCTGTAAGCCTGAACGTAAAATTGCAACAAATTTAGTAATAACAGATTTAGAACTTTCCTGACGTCCTCTATCAAATAATCAAAAATATAGAATGTAAGAATTTTGTATGTGCACATGATGACACCAGCCATATTATGACTCGAAGACCAAATCAAAATATATTAGAAGAGAGAAGTGATCTATTTCCCTGCATGTTTGATGCACAAAAGACAGGTGAGTTATAGATGTATCTTGTTTAAATTACACATTCAATTTGACACATCTCAGGATACTTGTACAAGAGAGGAACACTTAAAATGACAGAAAATGAGGATTTAAAAAAAAAAACTTTTCACAGCCTTTCTCCACCTATTAGAGGAATGATGATGGATGTTGTATAATGGGATATATACATGCTATATGATTCAAAGTTCAGACAAGTCATTATCCCACGAGCACACGTCAATCTACCAACCCAAAGCTATGCACTTCATGCACAGCAACATAGGAGAATTTCAGGCCCCATTTCAATCAGATACAGACAAAAACACATACATGTGGGGTGGAGGCTGAAGGGTGGTCCAGTCTAAACAGATGACTTGTATTCTGACATTCATCTTTTCATATACAATCATATATGGAAAGAAAGGGAAATATTGATTACTTCATAACAAGAGTAATGTCAATATAATTGGATATCAGGAGTAATACTGCTGACTATAGAGCATTGCTGTTTGGTATTTTTTGGTTATGTTGGCAGAGATGATGGAACAAATTACATTAAGATCCTTTGCCTTTCTTGAAACCCTTTCAGTACACATGCCTTCAGTATGTATTGTGCTTTTGACTTCAACCTTTTGAAATTTTGTTGCCAGAACATATTTTATTACTAACAATTGATTGTAACACATCATAAATGGAAGCACATAATATTCTTATTTCATAAAGCAAATGACAAAATGCTTCTGTACACATAAGAGGAATTATACTGGTATATATATACTAAATAAAGATGATAAGGATTTATTACAATAAAGATGCAATCGCACTGGAAGAAATTGCAGAACTCCATCGTCCCAAAGCTAAGCCTCATTAGCTACGTCTAGCTGCTATGCTTATAAAAGACGATTCTCTTCCAATCATTTTGTTTTCCATGGGAACATCTCATGGTAAGTTATTACATAAGCAGTGGCTTTCATTCCGTACCAATTAAAATAAACATCACATTTTCTTGTTTTATGCAACAAGAATATTTTCATGTCAGAATGAGAGTATTTTTTGTCAAGATGCTATGAGAAGAATTTATGGTAGAGGGAATATTTACACATTATTTTTACGTCATTACATTGTCAACAATACGAGTTGAACGAAGAATAAAATACCAAACATTTGTGTTTTGGATTAACTTTCCCTTAACACAGTACATGAGATTTATCAAATACTCATGATCTTCTATGATATACACAGGTACATGTATATATCAGGTAATTGATATAAATAATGTCTGGCAAGTTCATGGTGAAGTTTTGTTACTTTACTCAAAGCTATAAATTCAATACTTCTAAAGCAGCAGAGTTGAAAGCCAAATTATTCTTTTGGGAGTTACAAAATACCACCTGTAAAGCAAAGAAAGACAAAATAATCACTCTGTGTCGTAGTCGAGTGGTTTAAGCGCTTGATTTGAAATTTGAAGGTCATGGTTCGATCCCCGACATTGTCCTTTGGCAAGGCATTAATCTACACTCTCCACTCTGTGTTAAATGGGTACCCGGTAATAGTAGGATGTGAAAGTGAATGTAGTTTACTCAGCATTGTGAGCATTAAATGACGCCTGGCTGGAATGCTCCCCAGGGAGTGGAGAATGTGCATACATTGTGTGCGGGCAAGCCTGAATCCGATGACCGGGGTAGTAATATATCTGTAAAGCACTTAAAGACATTGTCAATGTATTAAGCGCTTTATAAAAGTGTAATACTTTTATTATAGAGAAAATAAATGTTTTGTAATGAGATGATTAACATTGTAAAATTAATGTCTTCCAGATGTTATCCCCCCCCCCCTAGCATCACCTACAATAAGAGGAAGTACAGTTGTTACCAAAACACTTATCCACAATATCAGTCAAGAGAAAACTGTTCACTCTATGCACCTTCTGTTGTCCAGTTATTTGGTTTTTGTTTTGTTTTGAATGGAAACTTGCAGTAGACTAAAACGTGAGGTTCTTTATTTTCTTCTCAACTTTCAAAGATGGGAAAAAAAGGTCAAGATTGTGGAATTGAATATGCATTTGCTTTGAAAATGATCTTATAGATCAGAAGAATATGAATCTCAAGTGGGCACAAATTTTTCAGGAAATTATATGCACTGGCAATTTCATAAATTCTGATCTACATCTTTGTGCTTTGGATAAACATAATGGCCCGAATTCACAAAGCAAGGTTTGAGCTCAGACCAAGGTTTGAGCTCAAACCTCCTTTTGTTTCGCCAAACCTCCTTTTGTTCTTTACAAACCAGGTTTGTAAAAAACGCGTAAAACGCGTCATATGACGTACGAAAACCAAGGTTTGTCGACAAACCTCCTTTGTGAATTCGGGCCAAAGGGTTTAAGCAGAATGATAAAATGGGGTTGCAAGGATATGAATTGAACCTACTGAACAGAATATTTCAAATTTCTAGTTTCCCACTGGCATGATTTAAAATAAAAATGTGAAGATGAATTTAAAGAAACATAAATTTGAAATATAATTTTTCTAATGAAAATAAACATGCACATTACTATGATCTTATTTTTTAAGATATATCCTATATTTGTGATATACAGACAGGCAGTGAACCGACTGAATTATTAACAATTCTTACGCCGATAGATTTGTTTTCCTCTTGAAAATTGGTCCTCGACTTTTGCAATATACATCTTATCACTGTTGGGGCAACAAAAATATGCAATTTTCCATAATTTCTTTTAGAGACATGGTGACCTTTATACCAAATGATAATCATTATGCACTAGGATGTGTATTTTGATATGAATTGCCAGGTTATTGCAAATAGAGTAAAATAATAATGGATTTTTATAAAAAATCATGTCTTCTATGCAGTTTTATATCTCTGCATTTGTTGTACAACCAGAAAGCATTTAATGAACTCCTTCACCAAATTATGATTGGAATCCCTTCAAAGAAAGAATCTGCAACAATTGACATAAAATTTCATTCCAAATCGAATGGACATACTTGGCTAGTGAACATATTCCTCGATATAAAAAAGTGTCAGTAATTTTGTTACATAATCAAATCATCGTACAACAATCATTAACCGTTTTTTCTTTTAAAGATATAAAAATACCTACAGCAAAAAAGAGAGGGAAAAAAAATCACCTTTTAAATCAACAATTTCCACATATATGTGAATGAAGAGCATCAGTATCTTCACCACTCATTATTTAAATACTGTTTGCTTCATCATTTCAATGGGTTTCAAAAATGATAAATGGATAACAATAATGACAGGTCGAAAACTGCCACCCCAAGTTTGATAAGTATTATAATTATCCCAAAGAACATTTTAAGCAGGTCTGGCATTTTGTTATCTATCTCTGTCCGGACACCAAAATCTCATGCTATATGAAAGTAATGAGTTCTTCTCCTGATCACAGTCTCAGAACCCTGCTCCTGACAACACTGCTTAGAATGTTCCACATGCAAATTTGTTTACAACAGATGAATAGATATCTCAATATAACAATTAAAAAATATGAAAGAGAGTACATACATACATATGTTGCTTTGAGAAATTTTTTGTTTTCCAATAAATTTTTCATTGTAAACATGCGCTGTTTTTTTAAACCTGGGGATAAATAATTTCTTTGTTCAAGGAATCTCATCTTCTTTGCTAGAAGGTATAAGTACATACAGTCCAAGACGAGATAGTCAAGTACTGGCCTTGATCAATGAAATACAAAATCTTATCCCCTTTACATAGGAGTTATTTGATTTCATATTAAATATACATCAAATCAACAAGATAAACTTGTGAGGGGATGTATCACATATAACAAGTTGCAGCTCAAATCATAATCTTCTGCAGTATAAAGTAATGAAATGAAATATAAAAGTATCATACATTTCTCTTCTCCAATATTTTGGTCATTGTGGCATTTTCTTAGTCACACATGATGATGTTAAGTCTATGAGTAACAAGTCACACATCGGGGAATCACATTAATCTAACCATATAAGGCAGAACACTCTCTTTGTGTGAGAAGACAACAACAAATATGAGGTCATTTCAGATTTCTGAAGGAAAACAAAATGTTTGAGCATAAAAGATCACTTTCATGTATCCCTTGCTAGAAGTTACAGTTACATGTAGTTTCTAATTTTGCATTAAGAATTTACTTATGTAAATTTATGATAAAGATGTGAAACCTGCATGTCTCATAATTTCCCGCAGACATTGTTTGCATCTTCAAATTTGCAGAAAAGGGAAACAAAAAGGATGAAGAGTTTCCCAGTTTTCAAAATGTTGCTATGGTTACAAAACAGTGTGGCTAAATCAGAATGATCCCCAATTCTAGTCTTGCTCCTAAACCTCAAGTCTTTTCAAAGCGGTTCAGGGAATTTGCATGGTCAAGTGGTTAAGGAGGAAGGCATCACAATAAGGTACAGAATTTCCAGCCACTTTTCTTTTGCGACTCCTTCTCCGTGACCTTGACTCCTCCTGACTTCTGCTGACCTGTGGCATCCATTTTCCTGTCCATCTTTGACTTGATATCCCTGGCAAGTGTCACGAAAGCCTAGTGTTATGTGAATAAAAGAAGTTAAACAAAATGAGATTGAGTCACTGTTTATATCTTGAAAGGGGATCAACACTTTATGGGTACTTTGCACTTTCCAATTGTAGGTCGGCCAACGGTTGACCTCATAATGCTCCAGTGACGTTATTCACCAGGTTATTTTGTTTATATATTTCTCAAGAAAACAATACCAGTAAGCACATGAACTTGTGGAGGATTTGTTTACTCTTTGTTTTAAAATTTTGATTGGCTTCTAAGTATTTTAATTGTTATATTATCATCAGTCAAATGTCAGTATTGTATAGCATGCACATAGATACAGAAACACATGAGAAACCGATGTGTACCGGTAATAGTGAAACTACATTTGCATACATTGTTTTCATTGACTTCTATGCATTTCAATCCATGACAATTCTTTTTGTCATGTGGGCTCCTGAAAAGAGTAAAGGGATAATATTCTCTGAGTACTCACCTCTTCAACATTGATGCTAGCCTTTGCACTGGTCTCCATGAACTTGATACCATACTCTATTGCCAACTATTCAAAAATAGATACAACTATAATATTTCTCATGGTCAACAAAATAATAATGTCATGATAATAATTGCTCGATTTATATTGTGCATTTATAATAATAATAATAATAAATTTATATAGCGCAGCTTTTATACAAAATATATTCAGTTGCGCTGGTTAAGAGCTCCTTTTTACTAAATTCTACAAAATAAGATCACTCAGTTGAACAAATAAGTTTTTAAATTGGATTTAAAAACATTGAGAGATGGAGTGCTTCGTATTTCTATGGGCAAGCTATTCCATAGTTTGGGGGCAGCAATTGCAAAAGCACGGTCCCGAAGAGTTACTTTAGTTTTGCCATGGGGAATATGAAACAATAATTTATCTGTGGAACTGCGCAGGCTACGACTGCATCCCAGGACATGCTCGAGGCGCCTGCAAAGTAGCATTATTACCCTGGCTTTAGCCTAAGGCACTAATAAGCATTCGAGGAATACATTCCTTCCAGCTACACATTTATTACACCTGTGTGGAGAGTATCAAATGTAGATTTAATGCCTTGCCAAAGGATATTGGTGTCACAGCTGGACAGGAGCTGCGAACCACATGATCCACTAGACTATGACACCTCTAGTGTTATAAAGGCTAACAGGTTGTTTAGGATGCATGTTATATATCTTTTCAAAGCTCGTAATGATATAATCTTAAACACATTTTATCATGTATACTTGCACATAGACGACCCTCTGAATTGGGTTTAGGCTCAGCCCGATCACACATTTTTAGCTATTAAGGATACAAGACTATACACAGTCTTTTTGGTACCCTTCCTTCAAATTGAGTTTAATCACTCCTGCATGAAATATGCATCATGTGAGTTGCATCAGATGAAAGGGGAGGATCTAAGCTTCACAAATATGTGTCATTTAATTAATTATAATTGTGATTAAGTTATAATAAAAAATTGATAATTTCGTTTTTTCTGGGACGCACTGTGTATTGATCAATGATCTAAGGGTGAGATACAATGAATAAACGTTTACACTATAAAGCCTTAAAATAGACCCCACCACATTTGGAGAAAAGGCTAGAGCAGGATTTTATGTCAATATGGTGTGGGATATTTCCTGGGAGGATGTGGTAGATGCATGTTCAGAGTAATAATATAATTATATAGTTCGTTCTTGTATAGCCCAAAATACTTAGTCTCTATGCACTTCCAAAGAGCTTCAAAAATTACTACCCAAGCTTTAGCTCCGGCTACCAATTTTGGCGCACAGTGCATTTCAAGGAATAATCCTACCAGGTACCCATTTACCTCACCTGGGTTGAGTGTGGCAAGGTTAGATCAATGTCTTACCAAAGGACATTAGTGCCGTGGCGGGACTTGAACCGTGAACCTTGCGATCCCCAGTCCAGTGACATATCCACTCGACCACCACACCTCTACTGTATACTTAGTGGGTGCCAGAATATCTCTATTTAAAAAAAAATGGACCATCAAGACTACATGTAGCTAGAGTTCCATCTAGAGCCAAGACCAGGAATGATCTCAACCACTACACCAATTTTCCCTCATTTGGAATAAAAACCCTCTCCTTCTCTCCACTTTGCCCTTTCCCATCTCTCCTTTTGCCCCTCTCTCCCTCCTCCGTCCTCTCTCTTCCTCCACCCCTCCCATTCCCTCTTTCCTCTTTCTCTCCTCCTCTCCGTCTCTATCCCTCCCTCCCCTCTCGCTCTCTTTCCTTCCCCTCTCCCTCCCTCCCTACCTCCTTTCCTTCCTTCCACCCTTACCTGTTCCCACTCCCACTGTCTCCCTTCCTATCCTTACCTGTTCTCCTTTCTCCTTGGATACTGCTCTCCTATCATCCATATCACATTTGTTTCCTAGGATCATCTTCTCTACATCTGCCGATGCATGCTACAGTGAAAGAATCATAATTATTAATGTTATATGTATCAATGAGACAATAATAAAAATTTAATACTTCACTGTTGTACTACATGTACTACTCAGTGGGGCAGTCTACCTTGATATTAAAGATAAACTTGATTTCTGGTAAAAAAAAGAAAATAAATTCTCACAGAATCAAACAAAACTTACACTGACTGTTCAAGATTACAAATAAATGTCATTTGCCAAACAAATTTGGTAGAAAATGTATAATGGCTGAGTAGTGAGCATAGAAAGATAAGGAAATTAAGGTGTCGGGCCCCGACACCATTTGTGTAGTCCCATATACATCTTTCTGTGAACAGTGCTTGTTACTTTACCAAGACTGGGCCAAATTTATTATGATTTTGATGACTCCAGAACCTTGCAGTACACACCAATACTTATGCTACATGATCAACTTTTTCTGATCCATTCCACACCTTTTCTTTCACAATGCAATCGCATGACCAGAACTCAACTTTATTTTTAAGTTGTTTTTAATAAAAGTTTTTAAAATAAGAGGAACCGGTCAGTGAAATTTTGAGCAAATTCCAATTTGCTCTGTACATAAAATACCATAAAATTTAATTTGCTTTGTTATTAATGACAGAATAGATTTTTATTATTTTTCATACAGAGGTGGAATATAAACATATTTGCAATACCGGGTAATTATATTTTGAGTACATTTATGATTAAAAAATTTCTTGAGGACATTTTTTTTAAATTCTGATTATTTTAGTACAGAGCAAATGGGAGAGGAGCTTGCAAGACACTTTTTAAAGTTGCCAATTTGTGTTTGAATGATCGCAATATTAAGTAACTTTCTTATTCTTAATCAGAATTCGCTTGATTTTCACTAACCGATTCCTCTCATTTTCAGCTTCTATCAAAACCAACTTAATATCAGAGTTGACTTCCCCTTTAACCTCTTTGCATCAAAGTGGAAATGATTATTTCTGTAAACAAACTATTTAAAAAAAAAACCTCTTTAAACAAGCATGCTGGAGAGTTTTGCTTAAACATGAAACTCTTATTGATAGCTTTGTTAAATAAGTTATTATCGTGTTGAAAACATGCTCGAAACCATGCATTCCTGTTTTTCTTCTTTCTTTCTTGCTTGTTTTCTCTGACCATAAATTCTTAGATGTTTTATCAATTAAACTATTAGATGTAGAAAGAAGCAAAACCAAAAAATGAATTGTCATCTTTCAATTAGTAATAAAAAATGATATGCAATCAAGCGAATGTCTATTACCGGTACTCTATTTTGCAATTTGGATGTACATGTACGTGTAACTGTAAGTGTATCTGTAAGTATCATTTATTTTTTAGTTATTTCATTAATTTTGAATGTGCTTCCAGGATTTTTGGATGCTTGAGAAATGACAGTCTGGAATTATTTTATGCACAATTAAGTGTTTATTGTTCAATGTATGGATTTTTTTTTTTAAGAGATCACAGTACAAAATTATTGAAAAGAAAATTTCTTCTTGATTTTATGATTTATTATCTTTTTGTTTCATAAAAAATACACCTTTACATTTCTCTCTGCAGTTTTAGTCTTGGTTATCTTTCTATTAATTTATACTGTGACCCTAAAAATAATGAACCTTAATCGGTATTGTTATTCTAGTTCACCGACAGGACAGGAGAAGTGAGTCATAACTGATTGAATATGAAAATGTTCATTCCACTAGAGAGTGGATGGGTTCAGTCACATGACTATAAATAGACTCAAACTCAAAGCATATTATGCGTGTCATAAACTCAAGGACACCCTCAATTCATTAGAAAGGGAAAGGCTGAGAGTCGAGTAGTACTACACTATGCACATCAAGCCTTAAAGCTACTATTAATATTCAGCAAAGTCTACTCCAGTGGTTGATTGTCAAGTTTGCATAAATCTGTTCTAATACACTCAACAGGATGGCAAAATTTTTGGCAAAATTATTTTCATTTTCTTTTTAAAGGAGGACTTTGCTTTCTCTTGGCATACCTGATTTTCTTTGTGTTTGGGAAGACATACATAGAAAAAAACTACAAAACTACAAAACAGTACAAACCTATTCAAATTGTTTGGTCAAATATCTTACTAAGTTATGGTTTTTTTCTTGTTTCTCGTTTACATGAATTCACCTCGATGATTTGATAAGATCAATAATAGGCACCATCACGAACTGTTTTGGTTCCAAAACTATCATTTCCATCAGACTTTCCAGTTCTCGACCCATTTAGTTTGTATGGTAACCTTTGACTTTGCCAATTTAAAACCCGTGGCTGGTGCTGCCCTCTATGGCCGAAATACCGTAGTTGCGGTAGCGAGAATTACATTGTATGCCTATTTCTTTTATTCTCTCTAAACATAGGTGTTACCTTTCAATCTCTCATCGCCCCCTTTCTTTCTCTCTCTCTCTCTCTCTCTCTCTCTCCCTCTCTCTCTCTTTCTCTCTCTCTCTCTCTCTTTCTTTCTCCTTCCAAACATGAAGGTCGTTTTAAGGCAGACTACTTATACCTGGGTGGAGGATTTGATGACAGATCATCCTGTATGAATGAATGAGCTAGGTAACTGTGGTCTGGCTAGTGATAGCTGGAGTATAGGCAGTAGAATGACTAATCACCCCCTGGCAAATCAAGACCCACTGGTCGCTGGGGGAAACCCTCTGTTTGGATCACTTCCTGAGTCAGAGTCGTGCTCATCATCACATGCATTTATGCCTACATGCAGTGTTATAGCTAGAGACTTTTTGGTGGTGGGCGCGACTTCACCGACACCATTAAAATCCCAAATCCTGTCCTCTGCAACATCGCGATCACGAGCTATAAACATGAATACACGTGTATACCAACCGCTGATCAAAACAAGTTCGGCCCAAACCCAATCAATAAAAAAGGAATATTTTAATTATATCAATATCTTTTTAATTCATTTATTCTGGAAAATTACAAAATTTTGTATTTACCCTATTAAAAATAAACATTCATAAGAACAGTAATCGTACAAGCCTAGGCTGTTATCTCTGTGTATTAATAACATATACCGGTACATCGGAAAATCAATATGGAAACTTTCATGATTGGTAACATTACACAACAACACACGCCAAATCTCGGCAAATACTGTAATAATTTATTGTCTAATTGAAAACATGATTCTTGTACTATTGCAAATAAAACGTGATTTAAGAATAAAGACGGAGTAAGTACTTTTCTTCACAAATATTAACATTTAAAGCAGTTTTTTAAGTGAAATTAGTGCTGGTTGGAAGCAGAGTTTTTCACCTCCATACAAGGAAAGAAATCCGTCAAGAAATGTGGCAGTCAGTGCGCATAAAAGACATATATATGACCTTTAACCCTATAAAAGACGGAACACTGGAGGCAGCATCACCAAAATCTATAAGCTTGTAGATTACACCAAGATTTGAACGAAATCCCTTGAGAAATGTGGCCTATAGAGCGCACACAAACCATCCACAAAAATATGGCCTTTTACCCTATAAGATGGAACACTGGGAGCAGCATCACCAAAAGTTATAGGTGTTGAGATTATACCACGATACACCTCCATTCAAAATTTGAAAGAAATCCGTCAAGGAATGTGGCAGTTGGAGCACACACAAGAATATGACGCAGCGGCAGCATAACGCTGCTGAATCCAAAGTACCCCACCGGCATACTGCCAGAGAAAACAATTAGAACAATCAAAGAGTTTCACAAGACATTTTCTGATGCATAGATCAATCCCCCCCCAAAAAAAAAAAAGAAAGAAAGACCAATGTTAGAAAAAGAAAATGCTAGACAATAGTTAAAAGAAAACGAAATTTTCAGTGTGTATATATCTGTGGATTTTCAATGAAGGTGTCTTTAGAGTACATTCATGTTGTAATGACCTTATCATGCTCATTAGAGGATCAGAAAGCCTTTCTCTCCTAATCTACACTTGATAATAGATCCCTTTTATGGGTGACTTCATAGTATAAAGTCACAAGATGGCATCAAGCCTACTATTTTCAGTAACAAGGGAAACCCTCTCGGTGGTCTCGCCTGCATTACGCAATTTGATATGATGAAAAATTTAGGTTGGGACATTATTTATAGGCAGGGTGGCCCAGCCCAGCAACAAGCAATGGCTATTAAGAGAGTCCAGAAACGTGCCCTACAAATCATTCTGTCCAATCGTTACATTTCCTACCAAAATGCTCTTACTTTGACAAATTTGCTGACGTTGTCTGACCGTCAGGATCAGTTGTGTCTTTCATTTGCTTGTGATACCTTTAAGTCGAACACAATGCACGGATGGTTCAACCCAGCTGAACAACGTAGAGTTCTCAGGAAACAGCGTGTGTGTGTTGAACCAACTAACAGACTTTATAGAAACAGTCCTGTCCCATTTTTTCATAGATTGCTGAATGAATATGGACTATGAACTGAGTAACTGGGTATAGGACATTGACTTTGGCAATTGACTTCTTTTGATGCATAACGTTGAACCATATGATATGTTTGTTAATGGTTTCAGCATGGGTTGTAATTCTTGTTATAGAATATTAATACTCTACATATTGATGTCTGGTCTATTTTCATTCTGGGTCATAAATTTTTATCTTTGTGCAATACAGTGTTCAAACACATTGGTCTGAAGAATATTATTCCCTTTTTTGTAATATGGAATGAATATTGGCTATGAACTGCATAAATAATGTTAACTGGAAATTATTAAGTTATTTTGCTCCAATGCACTCCAATGCCTTACTTCTTAACCCGTTGTGACAAATTTGATAATAATTTTAGCATAAGTTTGTATTTTCACAACTCAAGATTCACACTTTCTATTGGAGCTCTTGGTGCATTTACAGGGGCTTTAATTCTCATTCTTTGGAAATTGCAATTTGGGCAATATACAACACGTTGAATTGAACTGGGTCACAAATATAAACTGTGGAAATTATTCAGTCACTTTGCTCCTATGCATTTACCGATTTGAATGATTATTTTTGAACAATTTTTTTATTTGTACAGTGTATATATTTTAATGTTAATATTCTCTATTGGAAGTAAGAAATAACATATTTGTGCGATATACAGCATGTTGAACTGAAGAAAACAATGTATTTATCCCCTAATTAGTATGAATTATATCCCTCATGTAAAATTGTTTGCATTGCGATTGTACAGAGCACGAAAAAGGTATAGATAAGTACTATCTACCTGAGATAGTATTTTTGTAAAGTAATTTTTTGCTGCTACCCCACTTGCCCACCCTTGCCCATTGAATACGCATAGCAAAGTAGGTTACGCGAAATGTCAAAGTCAACGTCAATGTCAAATGAGCGCGCATCGACTGTATTACATGTATGCATGTTGCGCTTTGTAAAATCTAGCTGAAGCTAAACTGTCCGCAGAATCAGTTCTTATTATAATGTAAAATTCACTTTAAATAGACCTTATTGCCGATGTGGGATGTAAAACAAATATTAACCTCCTTTACACGGGCAATGGATACAAACTATCATCGCCTCGGTGATCTAAGGGATACCATCTTCCCTCGCCTTGCGGCTCGGGAAGATAGTAGTCCTGAGATCACCTCGGCGATGATAGTTTGCACCATTACCCTCGTAGTCGATTAATATTTGCTTACTATACACATTTTAAATTTTGTCTTTTTAAAAATTACTCACAGATTATATTTTTAATGTTTTAATCAAATACCATTTAGGTAATGTATTCAGATTAAATGCATATCTTTGTGGAGTGCCTGGAAATGAATGATCACATTCGCCTGCCGAGGATCATTGTATTTTGGTGGTCGGGGTGCGGATTGCATGCATTAGTCGTTGCTGGGCTTGACGAACATTATAGCATTTTAACTTTTCAAATATAATCTCTCTTACGGTATACATGAATGTAATAATTAATCACAAGGATTTCTGAAAAGACGCTACCACAAATTTAAGTACAGCTTTGATCTGATCTATTGAATGCAGTTTTTACCCATCTCCTTTACCCCCCCCCCCCCACCCCCCTTCTCCTCCCAACTTGAATGGAGATCTAAGCTTCGATTCAGCACACATAACATGTGCCATTCACCCACAGTGCTTTGCCCTGACATTATTTTTAATCATTGCCTAGTAGCTGAGAAATTGCTGTCAATAGATTTCATCTTGATTTGTAGTGTATACCTGCAATATTTAATTAAAAACCTCATTCTCACCTCTTCAATATTCCTAATCCAATTCCTGATGTTGTCAAATGACTTCTGATTTGTGATGTCGTATACAAGCATGATACCCTGAAAGACAAAAAAGACAATAATGAAATAATGAATATACAAATAATACTTGTACCTTTATGAAGTCTTGTAAAATTGGTATGGTTTAAAAGTGACAACTGGCATAATTCTCACTATTTTTTTTTTGGCTAAAAAAACCACTTGAGTAGTTGTGATGATTAAGTTGTACAAACAAAGTGTTATGAAACGTGGAAGTGCTTTGGACCAAGTAATTCTTTAAATGTAATACAGACCGATTTCTTTTATGAGCACTTGTCATGATGATTAAATCATCAAGTATTTTGAAGTGTTATATATTCCAAATTTATCTAAAACAACTGTAGAATAACATTGATTTGCTTCCTAATCTTATGAGAAACTTTTTTGGGGGGATTTTCATGTACATCAAGCTGCTCACATCTCTACACATTCTGTACAGTGTATACATATATATTGTCGGTCATCACTGAGGAGTATCAGCACATGGTCAAACAACTTTTTATAGCCAACTTCTAAAATCTTCTTATGAAAATATGATGAGAGACAAACAACATCCAGAGTCTATAAGTTGCATTTACACTGCAAGCAAAAATCAATTTGTCTCACATTCAGGTGTTTCATCGGTTGTTGCAAACACAACAAAAATCAACTTCTGGAGTTGTTTTTTTTTAAACGCCTGCTGAAAATTTGCAGATTTTTGCAGTGTAAATGCTCGCTCTCAAAACTTTGACACAATTCTGTTTTTTGGTCATGTGACTCTCCTCGCTTCCGCGCCATCGCATCCATGTGCAAAATTCAACAACAAAAATGGTGTACAAGGCACTCCAAAAAAAAAAAAATCTAGGTTTTTTTTAAAATGGTGTTTGGGCTGTGTAAATAGGCCTATTTTTCTCTCAGGACAACAGTAAATGTGAGAGAGGTGACCTTAATTCAGTAGTGGTCACTAAGACAGGCCTGTGTGTTTATCTTTTCATAATATATGTGACACACTAGAAAGTAAAGCTCACCATTGCTCCCCTGTAGTACGCTGTTGTGATTGTTCTGAACCTCTCCTGGCCTGCTGTGTCCCTGTAAACAAATCAATACCAATATTATTCACTTCACTAAGTATAATTGTAGGTAAGTCATCAGTCTTTCCCATCTAATGATGTACATGCTCCAGCAACAAATGCTTTAAGACCCTATCCGATGAAAATACAACTTGATATATAAATGGAAAACTGAAGGAATGTAGAATACAAATATAAAGGAGTAACTAGATGGAACTTTGTCTGCACGCAGTCGAAAATGATGCCTCTGCCAAAGAGCGATTTCACAAACCAAAACAGAAGCAATTTTTTCAAATTCAAGTTTAATTGTAATCCATTAAAAGGTTCTCAGAATATCGTGATTACAAGCTATTTCTCATAAACATGTATGACCCTTTGATCTTTGACTTCCTGACCCTAAAATCTAATCAGTTCATTGGCTTTGCAAGATGCATACCGGTAATGTCCTCGTCTTCAGTTTGATGGTAATCCATCCATCGGTTCTAATGATAATGTGATCACAAGCTATTTTTGCATATATAATGAGCCCCATGACCTTTGACCTTGACCTCATGACCCCCAAAATCTAATAAGTTCATTGCCTCAGCAAGATACATACATGTCCTGAGTTTCATGGTAATCTGTCCATCTGTTCTAATGATGTGATCATAAGCTGTTTTTGCATACATAATGAGCCCCATGACCTTTGACCTTGACCTCATGACCCCCCCCAAATCTAATAAGTGCATTGCCTCAGCAAGATACATACATGTCCTGAGTTTCATGGTAATCTATCCATCTGTTCTAATGATAATGTGATCATAAGCTGTTTTTGCATGCATAATGAGCCCTGTGCCCTTGTAACTACAAAATCTAATCAATTCATTGGCCCTGCAAGACACTTACAAGTCTTACATGACATAAGTAAAGCAGGAATCCATCAATCAGTTCTTGAGATAACGCAATCACAAGCTAGTTTTGCATATATATAATGAGCCCTGTGACCTTTGATCTTGTGACCCCAAAATCTAATCAATTCATTGGCTCTTCAAGTTAATACATGAATAAAGTTTGGCAGGAATCTATCAGTTGGTTCTTGAGATAACGTGATCACGGGACGGACGGACGGACGGACGGACGGACAACCCCAAAACATAATAATAAAGAAGTTTAAATAGAGAATAGGAATTGGGAATATTGAATAGGTATAGGTGCCAGGTCTTGTTTCTCATTACAAAGTAATCAGTAGGCCCTGAACCAAAATGTAAATAATCAGTTTTTATTTTATTTTTATATATGGGAAAATTTACATTTTATCCTAATTTCAACATCTCTTTTTTTGCATAACTGTGAACATGCTAAATCCAATGATTTTTGATGAATAAGACTTGGTACTTACCATATTTGTAACTTGATCTTTTTACCATCTAATTCTATAGTCCTAATCTTGAAATCAATACCTGTAAGAAAGAGAAGATAGGTAATTAGATAATATTGTATGTACTGGTCTAAAATAACTAACTAAAATAAGAATATAAAATAACTGTAAACTTCCAAAAATCATTCTAGTCTGTAATATACATTTAAGTACGAGCATGAAAAAACTAGTGCTGTAGCCGAACCGCCGAACCGAACGGAAGTTCACCGAACATGGCACTTCCGAACCGAACCGAACCGAACCGAACGCAAAGGCCTGGTTCGGATGTTCGGCAGAAAAATGTAAACGTTTTTGCAAGCTAATAAACTTGTCATTTTGTACCTAATTTTCATGTCATGATTGCTCATTTTATATTTACTTTTTTCCAATTTTCCACCTTTGTGATTTATGCCTATCCAGTGGTGGGCGCAACTTCACTGGCGCCATTTAAATCTCAAATCCTGACCATGCTACGTCGCGATCGCAAGCCATATAAACAAGAATACATGTGCGTGATCAAAACAGGTTCAGCTCAAACCCACTCAACAAAAAAATTAATATTTTAATTGTAACCATATCGAACAAATGTTACAATATAAATAATGAAATGAATATATATTATAGTATGGTATTTATTTATCCAGGAAAAATAGGGATTTCATATTTTTCCTATTGAAAATAAAAACTTATAAAAAACAGTTATTGACGAGCCTGAGTCTCTGTTCAAGATGGGAGCTTTCATGACTCCAACATTAGACAAAAACCGTCTCGGAAAATCTTGAAACAATATCATTTATCGACAAATTGAAAACATGATTCTTTTAAAATTGAAAATAAAAGACGATTCAAGACGGAAATACGAATGTAAGTATTTTTCTTCGCAAATAATTACGTTTAGAGCAGTTTTTAATGTGAAATTCGTGCTGGTCGGAAGCAGTGTGCAGAAGTCCTCCGTGCTGGTCGGGCTCGGCAGGGCGGGCGGCCCGCCCTGTGCCGACCGCCGTGGCTATAACGCTGCTTGCTATTATATTACCGAACCCCGAACCCCGTTCGGGTGAAAAATTGCCGAACTCTGCCGAACCGAACCGAACACGAACATAGCGTCTGACTTACAGCACTAGAAAAAACCCTGCACAAGTATTAGGCAATTTAGATCACTGCTAGGTGATCTGTATCATTTTCCCTCTCAAGACATGGGAAGCTACATGTACTGGTAGATTTATGGAGAGGAAATTAGAAAATATAACTATTATAAATAGCAGGAAAATGGTGTCATCAACTCGTGTTGAGTTGCCGATTTCCCTTAATTTGATATGGATTATAATCGTTTCTCAAGTTATTGCATTTAATATGTTCTTCAAACTGTTTGAGATAGATTGGTATTTCTGGTTTTACTGCTTCTATTTTCAGCAGTTTATTTTGGGTCTGGTGTCGGCCTTCAAAGCCAAAGGGTATCCTTGGAAAAAGGAAACATCCTTGCAAATGTGTACAGAGTAAAGATTTAAAAGGCCCTGCACAGGCAGTGCAATTAAATCAAAATTTCGTTTGGATTTGACCTTGCTTTTCTGTTGAATAAACACGTTGTTTATGTGAAACTGCTGGGAAAGTGTTGCAGCAAACCTGCCTTGACTTTGGCATATATGACAATGAATCTTAATGATCTTTAATTTTTGAAAAGTGAAATAATCAGATTAACTGATGGGGACAAAAAGACAAGAAACTTTGTACGAAAAAAGTTTGAAATATTGTATAAAATTACACATTTCTACCCTGTGGACAACAGATATTTTGGAATATGTTATTAAAAAACCATTAACTAAAATTTCAGTAAAATGTCATTTTTATAAACCCATACGAAAAAAATCCAACAGAATGCATTTTAATACCTTCAATACGAGCACTAATCTACTGAGTCATACACATTACATCGCAGGTTTTGATGTTATGCTCGATAGTACAGTCTACTTAGTACAGTCCCACATCACTACTTTTTGTTGGGGTTGATTGGTACAAAGAGCTTCAACATGATTTCGTGGTGTAGATTGTTATTTTTGCAATGTTTGAATTAACCTCTGAATTTCTCCAAAACTTATAACAAATGTATATTACGAAAATAAAACTAAATTACACTGATATCAACCTCATAGCTTTACTGTAAATGAGACGGAATAATACGGCGTTAAACATATAAATTCTCGTCTACATCGTCTGCTGCAGTAGTGTACCATACAGTGCCGCGCGCTGCGAGCTCATGCCTCTGTGTGTGTCCATGCCAAGCCGGGCTTAGGTTTACGTAATTTTGTGTCAATGCACATGTCACTTTTCTCCTAGGGTTGCTGCCCCTACAAAGTTTTCAATTTCTGAAAACACCCCCATTCTTTTTCCATTGTATCTCCAAAAGTAAGTCATGGGCACAGCGAAAATTTTGTCACCGGCTCCGTAAAGGTCTCTGAATATGTAGCAATGCATCCGGAAATGTCTGGAAATAATCTGAGGGTAGTTTTCAGAGACAACTGAACATGAAATGTAAGATAAAATGATACAATTTTTCATATATACTTCAATATGACCATTTTGATTATTCCTCAAAGTTTGAGCGAAAGCTGCTGACAAAGAAAGGAGATAATAAGAGGGTGAATTTTTGGTGATAAAGTGAGCTTGGCAACGTGGGTGCTTCGATGACCATTAAATATTCAAAACGATTTTGGTGTTATCAGCAAGTTAATTGCACCATCCTACACCACCTGAGCAAGAACTTTTTAGATTTGAAGCTAAAATACATCATGTTTCATTGAATGTACATGTACAGGTAGCTACATTTAGCTGTATTAGAGGGCTGTATTTGAGGGAAAGTTAACCCAGATACTAATTTGGCTTTAAAGGCATCGTTTAACAATGTTAAATCTGAGATGCATGGCCCTACATGTTATCAGTGTCTGTGATATGGTGTAATATTGAAGCCTTAAAAAAATTGCACTTCAAAATGGTCATGAAGTGCCTCAAAAAAGTAAAAAAATCTGTGAATGACCAGTTTTATCATACAGTACTCATTTCCCCAATAGACTGTAGTGTTATGAAAACCGTAAGGAAAACGCAAAATGTAATTTCAATTTTCAATCATAAATATCTTGGTAATCAGACAGGCAATCGGCTTGTAGAAGTCATGGGATTCCTGAATGACCTACAGGTTTATAATTATGATTGCAGCATGAGCTAAATCAAGGATTTTTCTGTCTCTTTCATTCATTGGCCTCTGATTTGGGTAGGGTCTGCTCCTCTCTTTAGAGGCTAACGAACGAAAGAGACAGAAAATTCGGTCTAGCCCAACTTAAGACTCAGGAGCTTAATTAATGAAAGTGGAAACAATGCTTAAATCACTGTTTTGATCAAGATATTTTAGAGTTCAGAGTTGAGCCTTTTATGTGGGGCATATGGAACAAAACATGCTCTTTCATATATGACACCTCATTTGTTGAGCATCACCTTCAGGTTAACGAGTGATAAAGGTTTGAATCTCAATTGGTAATAAAAAGATTGACCAATTTTGCATGAGCGCGCAATGCCTGTAGACTGCATAGGGATGCGTGCAATCTCTTTTGGAAGGGTTTTAGCACACCAAACAGAGTGCGTGATCAGACACCCAAATTGTAGGAGTGGTATAATTATAAAGCATCATATGTTAGTGTGTTATGTAAGATTTTGTATGGTCAGCACCATTGTGCTCTATGCGCAAGTGCGCCCTCTCTCACTTAAAGTTAAAGTAAAAAAAAACACTTGAACAGATCAGCCAATGGGAGCACATGAACTCAATTTACAGCGCTCAGCGCTTATACAGTTCTCTGTGCCCAGCACGTAGAACTTAAGCTTACATCTAGCGCATGCGCATTACATTCATCAGGTCTCAGGCTCATTTTCCTAAATTGGCGCCTACATGTACAAGGGCCTTTCTGATTAGCTATCGCTGGCTGCAAATTCGTTCAACCTTATAAGTGCGAGGAGAAAGCTTGCGGTTTTCTGTTTGATCTGGTGCGAAAAATCATGGTATTCCAGTCAAACCTTAGATCTAGATTTTTTTTTTAAATGGCAATTTGTACTTAAAATGTTTGTTGATTTTTCTTTTATGTGTGTAGACTAGATCTACCTAATCTAAGTGTGTGTCAATTATGTGTGAAGTGCGTCATCTGTTTAATTAAAGCATGACATGTCGGTGTGTTATGCAATATTACTTGGCATTGGCATTGTCATTGGCATTGTGCTCTCTGCTTGAGTGAGCCCTCTCTCACTTAAAACCGAAACCGCTTGGGCGAATCAGCCAATGGGAGCGCGTTATTTCAGTGCACAGCGCTCAATGCGTAAAGTTCTACGTGCCAGGCCCAGGTTTTAGGCGAAATCAGAGTATCGATCATAAACAAATTCTCTTTCTCCCTCTCGTATCGTTGTTTTTCATTTATTATCATTATAATTTATATCATTCACCACATTTACAATTCAGGCCAGTTCATTCGGACTCAAACATAACCAATGACACATGCAGCAATGGCTCAGCTATCTACGTCTATCGTATTCGTAGAATGGCTGTTGTGCTACTGAGTGCAGCCAGGCCTGGCATAGGAATAAGTACAGCACATCCTCAGCGGCCACACGCACCAAGGAGTGGGACAAGTTCCGATCAGTTGACACTGCACTGCCAGGCAATATGGCCTATTGCATTGCGACACTCACCTATCGTTGAAATAAACGTTGAATTGAAAGCGTCTTCTGAAAATCTGAATAAAACACATGTCTTCCCCACTCCTGAGTCTCCTATTAATAATAATTTAAACAGAAAATCGTACGTTTTCGCCATTTTTCACTCTAATAGTCCTACTTTACCACTCCACGTACGAGTCGGGCTCGGAAACACCCTGTCTGATTTGCATAATCATAGATTCCTGATGACGTCATCCAAGATAAGGTACTTCCGGGTACACTTTGATTGTTGGATTGTTTCGGTTCAGTGTCGAGTTTGTTATTGTAGTAATTAGCGTGGAAATGATCATTTAGACGTATTTCCTCTACTTGAAAGATAAAGTAATACTAATAGGCCTAAACATTCATTCATTCTCCTAAAGACCTCACTTCACGTGAACTTATTTTATGCTTAAGTTATCGCAAATAAAGATGAACCTAAAACAATCAGAGCTTGTTCATAGCTGTGTGATTTCTGCAAACATTTAAAAAAATAAAAGTAATGTATAGCGCAAATGTTTTACACAGTTTTTGCCCCCCCCCCTCCAGTGATAGTTGTTGTGTTTCAGGGGACTGAGCAAAATTCAACGCAAAGATCAGTTACTGTACACAACAGTACGAAAATACTCTACCCAGAGGACTGAACTTGCACTGGAAGAAGAAGAAGAAGAAGAAGAAGAAGATATAGGCTGTAGCCTATATCATGTTTTCTTCAATTTGACAATTACTTGATCATCAAATTATGGTCATGGAAAGCTGAATAGCAATATTTTTCCTGGTTCATGTAAAATTTGCCTCTGTCCAAGTTCACTTAGAATGTAGGCCTCATGGATAATATCACTCAAGGTTAATTAGTTGAATTGACGGTCTATTGGTCTGGACACTATAATACCTTTAATTTTATGTTAAAGATAATGTCCTATTTGCAGGCCAAAAAATGAAAAGGTTAAATTCCACCGGCATTTGACAGATAATACTAATTTAGAACGAAAGGGATTGAAATGTCTTTTTTTTTTAGAAAATAACGACCGTTAGTATAGTAGGCTACTGTTGACGAATCGACTTTAGAGATTGCAATCATTTTAGTAATGGTCTGATTTTCAGAAGTACCAATTGGTTGTACGTTTTGTGCTGCGAAAAGATTCAGTCAGTTTAATTTTGGCCATTACAAGAAGTGGTTTACGATATATTGATGTGTAATAAGCAAATGCTCATGTACCCTTTTGTTATCATCAAGGGAAAAAAGGAGTCAATCAATAGTGTCTGACAGTGAAGTCTAGAAAGTAAACGGGTTCCCTTGCACAAATTGAATACTAGGACACTGATATCATTTAAATTCCACAGATATAAGGACATTACGTGCATATTCATAATTCCTGCTAAGTTCTCGGAATGTGATGTTGGCTGCAAATTGGAACATATTATCTTTAAAGTGACGGGGATGATGATGATGGTGGTGATGATAATTTTGAAATTGAAATTGTTGAAATTGATTCGGTTTATTGAAATAAAAGAACATGCAGCCTGGGAAGCTGAAATTATTCAATTTACAAAGTAAATATATACAACACAATAAACGATCGAAATATGAATGACGTAAATCATGCATAATGAAACAAAATGAGAATCAAATATTACATCAAAATCTAAATATATTACAAACATTAAATCAAAATCTAAATATATTACGATTATTACATCAAAATCTAAATATATTACAAATATTACGTTAAAATTTAAATATATTACAAATATTAAAAACATTAAAAACCTTCTGTGTCATCAAAAAAGTAGAGAGAGAGAGAGAGAGAGAGAGAAAGAGAGAGAGAGAGAGAGAGAGAGAGAGAGAAGAGAGAGAGAGAGAGAGAGAGAAAGAGAAAGACGGAACTAGAAAGAGGAATAGAAGGAAGAAGAAAAAAGAAAGAAAAGTTGATCAGGGAGTATTCATAAGATTGGAGGAGAGGCGTTGAGAGAGAATGAGTAGAACAAGAAAAATAGGAAGAGAGAAGAATCTCTGCCAAGTTGAAATATGATTTAAAAAGTAAAAACAACAGATTTAAAAAAGAAAAGAAAACAAAAAAGAGAAGTCATATTCACTGTTACTATCAAAGTATCAAAGTACATGTAAATGTTTGACAATATAATATATCAACGTCATTTATAAAAATAAAAAATAAAAAAAATAAATAAAAAAAAAATCGTTTAAGTGAAAAGAGTAAAGTTATGCCAATCCCGCAACACATCAAAGTTCAATGCAGATAATTTTATAACTCAAAATGATTATATATCGGTTTTCAAAAAAAAGGGGAAAAAAAGTCATATTCACTGTTACTATCAAAGTATCAAAGTACATGTAAGAAAAAGAAGAAAAGCAAAACAAAAACACCTTATTATGTATTGTGTGAAGAACGAAGAAATTTTTTTTTTAAAGAAGGAAAAGGCGATAATAGCTAAGGAAAAAGGTAAGAAAAAAGAAATAAAAAGAAAAAGATGAGAACCCAAGAGTAGAGGGAGGAGAAGGGGTTTCACACAAAGCATGAGTAACATGAGAAAGCACGGAATGTAACAACCTAAAAGTACAAGGATAATATTATCAAAAAGATATTGCACGAGGTAAAGTAATATGAGTATATTACACTGAAGAAAAGAGGGGGAGAGGGAAGACAAGCAAAAAGGGAGTATAAAATAGTGAAAAATAAGATCAAAGAACAGAGAATATCCATGATAGATAGATTTGCAAATTAAGTGAACTGCATTATAGATAATCATTGAAAATCATTGCATTTTTACGTGTAATCTCAAAAAAGTACCACAGCTATAAACAGTGAGAGAGATAAATAGATAAATAAATAAATAAATATTTGATATATCTGCATTACAATGACGAATTCAAAACTAATGACATTTAAGGAAAAGAAAAATCATGCATCTTATAAACAATAGAGAGGAAACAGATACGAATAGAAGAAGTGAGGGGGAGAGGGAAGACAAGAATAAAGGTAGTATAAGATAGTGAAAAATAAGATCAAAGAACAGGGAATATCCACGATAAATAAGTTTGCATATTAAAGTGAATTGCATTATAGATAATCATTGAAGATCATTGCATATTTACGTGAAATCTCCAAAAAAAAAGGTTCCACAGCTATAAACAGTGAGAGAGATAAATAGAAAAATAAATAAATAGTTGATATACTGCATTACAATGAGGAATTCAAAATGACTGACAGAGAAGGGATAGTTGATAGCATATATCTCCGCGTTCTACAAAATGGAATGTCAAGACTTTGAAAGTTCCGAAGTTGTAATCGCGTACGGGACTGTGATTGTCTAGCAGTGGCGGATCCAGGGGGGCCGAAACGGCCGCGGCCCCACCCCCCCTATTGGCGGCGCAAAAAAAAAGGAAAAAAAGAGGAAGAAAAGAAGAGAAAAAAGAAAGGAGAAGAGAAGAAGAAAAGGAGAAGAGAAAAAAAAGAGAAGAGAAAAAAAAGAAGAGAAAAGAAAGAAGAGAAAAGAAACAGAGAGAGAAACAAAAGGAGAAAAGAAAAAGAAGAAAGTCCCCCCCCCCCCTCGCTTGTGCTTGTATTTGAACTCATGTTGGTAGTAATCATGGACAGGGGCGGCAATCTTGGGCCCGATAGGGAGACACGTCCCCCAGGAAATTTAGAAATATAGCGGAAAGAACGTACATATTGGGCTTAGGGATTTTCTAGAATGCTTAATTTCAGCATTCAACATTGCAAAATCTCGCTCGGTCGCTACGCCCCGGCCCTCGCCCGATAACACAAAACTTCTTTCATTTCTACATTATTGCTTCTATCACAATCATAATTGTTTCATTTTCCCTTTAAAGCAGGCGCGTAGCCAGGGGCGGTAGGGGCAGTAAGAGGACATAGGACGAAAAAGGAGGAGACAAAGAAACATTTTTGAAAATTCTGACAAGTTGAGAACGGTACAACGAAGCGTCTTCTTTCTCTAATAATTTTATGAAACATCAAAGCTACCACGCTTCGCGCGGGAGGGGAAAAACTGCATTCAAACAAGGATTAAGAGTCGAGAATGGAACAACGAATTGTCTTCTTTTCCTTAATAATTTAATGAAACGTCAAAGCTTCCGCGCTTCGCGCGATGGGGGGGGGGGGGGGACAAGGATTAAAGAGTCGAGAACGGTGCAACGAATAGTTTTCATTCTCTAATGATTCAATGAAACCTTAAGCTTCTGCGCTTGGCGCGGGAGGGGAGAAACTGAATTCAGAGAAGGATTAAGAGTCGAGAATGGAACAACGAATTATCTTCTTTCTCTGATAATTTCATTAAACTATGAAAGTTCAAGCTTCAAGGGGGGAGACGGAATTCATTAAACTATGAAAAATCAAAGCTTCCGCGCTTCGCGCGGGAGAGGGAAAACTGAATTCAGACAAGGAATACGAGTCGAGAATGTTTCAACAAATCATCTTCTTTCTCTAATAATTACTGAAAGGTCAAAGCTTCCGCGTTTTGCGCGGGAGGTGGGAGGAACTGAATTCAGACAATTAGGAGTAGAGAATGGTACAACGAATCATCTTATTTCTCTAATAATGTCATTAAACTATGAAAGTTCAAAGCTTCCGCGCTTCGCGCGGGAGAGGGAAAACTGAGTTCAGACAAGGATTAAGAGTCAAAAATGGTACAACGAATCGTCTTCTTTCTCTAATAATTTAATGAAACGTTAAGCGTCTGCACTTTGCGCGGGAGAGGGGAAAATGAATTCAGAGAAGGATTAAGAGTCGAGAATGGTACAACGAATCATCTTCTTTTTCTAATAATTTCATTAAACTATGAAAGTTCAAAGCTTCCGCGCTTCGCGCGGGAAGGGGGAAACTGAATTCAGACTACGAGTCGAGAATGTTTCAACAAATCATCTTCTTTCTCTAATAATAAATGAACGGTAAAAGCTTCCGCGCTTTGCGCGGGAGGGAGGAACTGAATTCAGAGAAAGATTAAGAGTCGAGAATGGAACAACAAATCCTCTTCTTTTTCTAATAATTAATGAAAGGTCAAAGCTTCCGCGTTTTGCGCGGGAGGGGGGGGGAGGAACTGAATTCAGACAATTAGGATTAAGAGTCGAGAATGGTTCAACGAATCCTCTTCTTTCTCTAATAATTTCCTGAAACATCAAAGCTTCTGCGCTTCGTGCGTAATGGGTGGTGGTAGGG